CCTCTTCTTTCTTTTTTCAACCAACTTCTTATCTTATCAATTCCTTTTATAAAATCTTTTATAATTTTCATCTTCACAGTCATATTCCATCCCTTCATCATATTTACCCTTATTTTTGTACATATATAAGCTTTTTTTCTTTAAAATTTTTGGAGTCACTTTCTTCTAAAAGACTAAAATATGTCCAAAATCTACTGTGTGGCACTGATCTAATCACCAGCATGATCATATTTGATCATGCTCTGTTTTTTGTTTGTTTGTTTGTTTCTTTTTATCTATTTCTTTTTCATTTTTCTTTCTTTCCCTTTCTTTTCCCCCAGTTTCAGGTCTCTTCTGATTTGTTCAGTGTATATTTTTCTGGGGTAATTGTTACCAGTTAGCATTTTGTTCTCTCATTCATCTATTCTCCTCTGTACAAAATGACAGATGGAAAAAATCACCTCAAAAAAAAGAACAAGAGGCAGTACTAACTGTCAGGGACTTAATCAATACAGACATTAGTAAGGTGTTGAACTAGAGTTTAGAATGACAATTTTAAAGATATTAGCAGGGCTTGAAAAAAGCATGGAAGATATTAGAGAAACACTTTCTGGAGAAATAAAATCTAACCAAGTCGAAATCAAAAAGGCTATTAATGAAGTGTAATAAAAAATGGAGGCTCTAACTGCTAAGATAAATGAGCCAGAAGAGAGAATTAGTGATATAGAAGACGAAATGGTGGAAAATAAAGAAGCTGAGAAAAAGAGAGATAAACAACTACTGGATCACAAGGGCAAAATTCGAGAGCTAAGCGATACCATAAGATGAAACAATATTAGAATAATTGGGAACCCAGAAGAAGAAGAAAGAGAGAGAGAGGAAGAAGTTATTGGAACAAATTATAAGAGAGAATTTCCTTAACTTGGGGAAGGAAACAGGCATCAAAATCCAGGATGCACAGAGAACACCCCTCAAAATCAATAAAAATAGGTCAACACCCCGACATCTAATAGTAAAACTTATGAGTCTCAGAGACAAGAGAAAATCCTGAAAGCAGCTTGGGATAAGAGACCTGTGACCAAAAATGATAGAAACATTAGATTGGCAACAGACCTATCCACAGATATCTGGCAGGCCAGAAAGGACTGGCAGGATAT